TTCACCGGTTCCATCCAGGTGGCAGCCGCCTTGCAGCCATGGAATGCAGCTGCGATTTTAGCATAAGTAGCGCAAATGCTATGCATTTCGGGCTAAGAGCGTTTGGATGGAACGTCCCGACAATCGCCGGAGCGACGCAATTATGGGATAAATGGAAGCTGCCTCGGATCGGCTCACTCTCTCTCCCATCCACTTAGCGCTTATTATGCCAGAGTTTTAACAAAGTGTTGATTCCGTCGCTGCAAATTAGATAACTGGCATTGGCATGGAGAGTGTGGAAAGGCAAACTGACTTATTATATAAGTTGATTAGCCACAGGAAATATTTCAAGATTGCCGGCCAAGACAATGATACACTTGTCGGTGGGCTTAAAGGTGATATAATTGAGATAATAGCTTTTCCAGATTGCCAATCGATTGGTATTGAGGAGATAAAAGTGGGAAACTTGGGGTAAGGCAGAATTTAAATTAACAGAAGTTAGACACAATCTTAGGATACTTTGCAGATAACAGATTAGAGAACTCCTGGAGAAAGAATTGTATTTACCTTTCTAAAATTCTTTTAAGCATTTATGAACTATAGTAATTCAAAATATGATTACCATACTAACAAGTGTAGAAATAAAGTATTCCTCCCTACTTTTCAAGGTACTTTTCTTGATCATTCTGTTAGTTAAAGCCAAGAATTAACTTCAGGTTTTAGACTACCTCTGCCAGGATACAGAACTCCAACAGGGTAAACTGACTTTTCGATTGCAACTTATAAGATTTCGCTGGCAAAGCCCTGGCCTTACCCCTGTGATTAATCCAACCCTTAGGCAGAAGAAAAAAATAACACCAAGTCAGAATTTCAGTTTTTTGCAAGCTATCCCTGTTACCGGGAAAAAACCCAGCAATCCTGGCCACAATTTATGCCTCGAAAGAAGGGCTCCTTGAAGCAGGGACACGCAACCCCCAGGACCTGTCCCTGCAGTGGTATAAAAGGATAAAACTGAAGCAGCAAACTGCATTCATCTGCTCACAATGCTCGCTACCTACAGAAGGACACACAAACGATGGCGTGCCTCTCGGGATTCCAAATGGCAAAAAAGGGAGCGAGCCGGGATACTTGGCGTGTACTTTGTGCCACGACTACTTTTACTTTTCTTTAACATTATTTTGCACTTTTCAATTAAAAAAGAAAAATGAAAATATAAAAAGTGTGCACCCCACGCAGTCGGGGATCGAGGGATCCCGGAGGGGGATACCTCTTTCCCGTCAGACACAAGCCAACAAACTACGGCCATGGCAAAGGGCAAAAGTAACCCCAAAAGCGGTAAAAGCAGGTCCTGGCTTGGCCAAAGGGGGTTTGTTTGGGATTTGGTGGGGGTTTCCAGCGAGGGGCAGCTGCCATAATTATAATTTCTTAATGCAAATAAAAACTCGCCGTGCTGATTTTTCGCTTTTGTAGAGAACCACAATTTAAACATTATGGACTTTTACTTGGACGCTTCGCGTTCACTCTACCATTTGCGGGGAATTGCTCTATGGGCCAGAGAGGATCCTTGAGATAAAGTTGAAGTCTCAAACTATTGAGAATTATAAAATTATAATTTATTTATTCAACAGCGGAAGACCCTAACCATTTTAATTACTTTTTAGGCAAGAAACTGCAGGTAAGTATTTATTTTATGTACTTAACATAATGATTATTGTGTACTAATTGCAAAATAATACTTGATATTTATTTTTGTAACGTATTGTGTTTAATATTCTAAAGAAAATTCCCTCCAAAAAGGGTGTCCTTCATTCAACTTATCCCTGAAAATGTACTTTAATCTCATGGTTATTTTCTTTTTCTTGCGCATTGCCAAGAAAGGAGTGCAAAAAGGGTTAAAATGGGAATTTGCTGCTGCTTCTGTTACTGGTTCCTGGTTCCTGGTGGCTTTCTCTTACCTCTGGTCCTTGGTCCTTGGTCCTTGCTCTGTTCCTGCTCCTGCTCCTGGTTCTGTCCTGGCACGCCCCATTCGGACGCCCACCGCTGTTGACCATTGTGGCCATTGCAGTGCCAACAAACATGCATAGTTAATGAGTGAAATAAAAAGCTCTGGCCCCTGCCCCACAAAAACACACACAGCCCATTCGCACACCCATCTTTACACCCATCCTTACACCCATTTGCACACACCATTCGTACATATTTAAGGGCCTGGCTTTTCAGCGCCGTGCGCAATGAGCTTACGTGGCGTATAATTAATATTAAATGTTATACTTATAAATTAAATAAAATGGCGCAACTGAAGCTGCCTGGCTGCTCCTTCTTTCAGCCGCACGATTGATGACCTGGCCGTCAAGCAGGCAGCACAAATATATGCTCCACATATAGGACATTATGTACACAGGATATACTACAAAAAAATAAGTTAAAAGAGTTTTAAAATAGCCAAGAAAAAAATTAAACTGATAGATCAAATTTAAGCCTAGTAAAATCATTTTTTCCAAAGGAATATTATATGATTTATTAAGAAAATTTAGTAGAAACAACTACAACTACTTTATGTATTCGAAAAGGAAATTGTTTACGGAGAAAACCCTTCTTAGTTCCGATTTGGAATTTTCAGGATATAAATATGAATTCCTTATAATAACCCAGTATTATTTCAAGTGTATCTAGAACCTTTCTGTGTTTGTGGGTCTTACTATATCCCCGGGTTATAAATGTGTGTTTGCCAACTTTGACTCGACTTGCTACTTGCGCCACTTCCGCTGTGCGGAAAAATGCTTTTGATTTGATTTTCACCAAATGTCAACTTGACGTCACGTCGTCTACGGCGGTGGAAGGGAGCGGAGGGCGGAAAGCAGAAAAGCGGAAAAGCGGGAAAGCGGACGTCGACATTGTCGCCGCCTTTGTTGTGCCGATTCAACTGCATGATTTATTGTTTTGATGAAATTGCGTGTAAACAATTTAGTGGCTCGTTGGCGCCCCAAAAGAAAACTCCATCCTGCGCTTTAAGTTTATGAACTTTTGAAAGACTTGATTTGAGGTTAAACATGGCAATATTTCATGGCCAACAGCAATCCGCCAAGTTGCATAGTTTTGACTTCTTTGGGGAGTTATAAGCCAAGATTCAACGGAAAATAATGGTAAACTGATGCCATATAAGTGGGATGATGGATGATAAGCCTTGAACCCAAGTAAGAAGATTTGAAATCCTTTTTTATAAGAAGATTTTCTGGGTTAATGGTTGTGTAAATAATATATAATCCCAAGGCAAACAGCTAGCTTTTTCGAGCAATTTCCAAACTTTGAAACGGTTTAAAATTGCAATATGTTATTCCCTTTTAAATGGCACCCGCTTTCTATCCGAACTTTTCGGCGTTGTAATTGAACCGCAATCGTAGTAAATATGGAGATGCCATTCCACAGCGTCAGCCACAAAACCCACAAAGATGTCAAGGGAGATGCAGTCAGACCGCATGAAGCTCTCATTCTGAATATCCGTATATAGTCCTGGGAGGACAGTTAAAGCTTGCAGTTCACCGCAAAACTGAAAGCTATATCGTATGCAATTGCGAGTACCAATAAATATGCCATAACAATAAGTAAGGAGGCGAGAGAGCTAATATCCGATTACTCTGGCCCCGCAAATGTGGCGTGAAAAGCGTCAAGCCAATCGTCCTGTTAGGATACTGACTCTCTCTCTCTCTCTACCCCCAACCTTCTATTCGACATGAAACAAACGCATAAGTAAATACCAGAAACGAGTGACTTTCAATATCCTTACAGGCTTATTGCTTACAGCAAATTTCACGCCGGCAGACAGACAAATGCGAGGAGCTGCGAATGCATTTACACATTTGCAAAACACAAACACAAAACCCAAACACACACACGGAGACAGTTGCCAACATGCAACATACAAACAACATGCGTGTTTGGAGGGGCTTTTCCACCCATTTTCCCGGAGCAGGGAGCAGCACGGAGCTCGTGCTGAACTGGGATTGGGTCCGCATCCAGTCATGTCTGAGTGCGTTTCCTCCGACGCATTTACGTTTATTGCATTTGTAAATTATTCACACAAGGATATTAAATGCAAATTGTGAAATAGACGACACACTCGTGCTTCACAGATACAATATCCTTTGCGATGCGAGGCCAGAGCGAGTGTCCCTGCCACCAAGTTTACACTCGAAAAAAGATACGGCTAAAGATATTATGGTAATCCTTACTTAAAAGCTCATAAGAAGGGGGTTTGATTGGTAGAAATTTCAGCATTAAAGTATAATTAAAATCCTTTTTTTTTGTCCTTTGAGCAGGATTGTTTTATACCTATAATTTTCCTTCAGTGCATTGGCGAATTACTCAACTCCTGCATATGATTGTCACATGCAAAAGCGAATCAAGATTCTCGTTTTGCGATCCTTGCCTTTGGCTCCTGGTTCTGGTCCTCGTCCTTGTATTTGATTTCCTTGAATGCCATTTGCCGGAAGGACCTCTGGCCCCTTGGTGAGGTTACGCAGGGCAGTCAACTATTGGCTATGCAATCTGACCACTTGATTGACTCTGTTCCTTAAATTGGTTCACCTGACGGCGGGCAGAGATCAAAAATTAATTTTATTAAAGCCTTGAGTCCTTTCTCTTTATTTATTCGTTTTCCATTACCCGATTACACTCTGGCCGGAAAAGGACACTCTGAAAGTTGTGGAAAAAGTTACATTTCGATGGAAAATTTCACCCGCATGCAACTCTACCTAAACACGTTTGAGGACAAAGTTTTTTTTGGGGTCCGGACGAGCGTAACATGCAAATTGAATTTAAAAGTTGGCAACAAAATATTTGAAGGCCAAAAGTACATTACCGAATCATCTATGCAGAACTGTAGCACCTGTCCGTAAACAGTGACAATTATTCCACAATTATTCTCACTTAAGCGGGTAGTCTAATTATCCCCCAATTAGCACCTATAACTGGGGTTACTATAAAAGCCTCTCCCAAGTCGAGGTTTTTACAAAGTACTGAAAATGTTCAGAGTTAAGGAACTGCTTCTTTCGCGGAAGACCTTCAAGACACCCATCTTTCAAACCCATTTAAACTGCTTTCACTGGTATGGCTATGTGGCCTCCGAGGATCAGAAGAAGGCCTGGTTCAGTCTCCTTCGCTGCACCGTGTTCACGGCCTCCATTTGGCTAAGTTGTGCCCTAATGCTAGCCCGGGTTTTCCGGGGCTACGAGAAGCTCATCGATGGCGCCACAAGTTGTGCCACAGCGGTCCAGTATTTGACAGTGTCCATTGCCACCTTGAATGCCTATGTGCAGAGGGATAGTGAGTTTAAGATAATTGATTTTAAAGATTTATGGCTGATACATTCCCAGGAGTTATTGCACTTCTTCGCGTGGCCCACTCGGATCTGGAGAACTTTATGAAGGAAGCTGATGATCAAGAGTTGGAAATTCTGGACATTACTCAGGTGTACACCCGCTCTATTACCCTGCTCCTTTGGGTGCCATCGGTGGTGGCTGGTTTGATGGCCTATTTGGATTGTGTCTATAGAACTCTGTTTCTGCCCAAGTCCGTGTTCAATATGCCAGCCGTTCGAAGGGGTGAGGAGCAGCCCATTCTGCTATTTCAGCTCTTTCCATTTGGTGAACTTTGTGATAACTTTGTGGTTGGTTATCTGGGACCCTGCTATGCCCTGGCCTTGGGTATTACCACCGTCCCATTGTGGCATACCTTTATAACCTGCTTCATGAAGTATGTGAATCTCAAGCTACAGATACTCAATAAGCGAGTAAGGGAAATGGATGTGAGTAATACTACTGCATCTAATTATATTTCCCTAATTAAAATTATTTTATACAGATCACTCGACTAAATCCCATCTTGGTTATAGATCAAATGACACCCAGGGAGCTAACCTACTGGAGAATGCAACTCTGCAAGGAGTTTGTGGAGGAGCAGCTTAGGATTCGCAAGTTTGTCCAGGAATTGCAGTCGTTGATTTGTGTGCCTGTGATGGCTGATTTTATTATCTTTTCGGTGCTCATGTGCTTTCTTTTCTTTGCTTTAACAGTCGGGGTAAGCAGGGAGAATTTAAATTTAATAACTTATATATTTTATTTAGATTTTGAGATATTTTAGGTGCCCAGCAAGATGGACTACTTTTTCATGTTTATTTACCTATTTGTGATGGCTGGCATATTGTGGATGTACCACTGGCATGCCACTTTAATTGTTGAATGTGTGGGTATTTCTTGAATTTAAGCTTAGTTGATTCATAAATATTATTTATATATTAGATTACTGAAGAAAATTGCAGAGAAGTATTCAATGTTTAGATTGCAAAGCTGCATTTTAATAGATTTAAAATCCTTTAGCACTTTGTTTTTCATTTAACAATCATACGTCTCCGTTTCAATTCATTTTTTCTGTCATTACCTTTGTAAACTTCGAAAAAAATCTAGGATGCAACTGTATCAGTATTCTCGTTTCACAGCTTTATTTATTCTGCGTCTTTCCCAGACAATTCTTGTTTACTTCGTTTTCAATCCTTTCTTGAAAGATGTGATTTTTGATCCTCAATTTTTTTGTTTCGTAATTGTAATTTTTCCTGCAGCACGATGAATTGTCCTTGGCGTACTACTCCTGCGAATGGTACACCTTCGAGTTACCTGTTCAACGGATGCTGCTCTTTGTGATGATGCATGCCCAGCGGCCGATGAGGATGCGCGCCCTGCTGGTCGATTTGAATCTCAGGACCTTCATAGATGTAGGCTTTCGATAAAGGATGAAGTCGTTGATTCTAATCCTTGACTCTTTTTTTGTAAACAGATTGTGCGTGGAGCCTACAGCTACTTCAATCTGCTGCGTAGCTCCCACTCGTATTAGGAGGTTGTCCTGGGGGCTAATCAAACGGCGAGCCTTACGCCTGTCAACTCGTTTGGCTAACATGACAGTAAACAAGCCATGCAATTCATTTTCCCTAAGAAAAAAGAGCCAAGGAAGTAACAGGAAGTCGAGGGGGATAAGGCGAAAATGCTAAACCATTTTACAGCGCAAATAAACGTGCCTCAAAAAGAGCCAATGCAATGTAACAAAGTAACAGGCGACATCATTTATCACTCTCGAGAAACGTCGCATGTCACTGCCATTGTATGTGTTTTGTTATATTGTCTTTCTCAATGGATATAAAACGATTTTTGCACTTCCCCAATGCACCGCACCACCCAGGTCCCATCCCCTTGGTTCTGCTTGTATTTTCCCTGCCGTGCCTCTAATTGTCTTGGGGTTTTAAACAAAGAAAATTTATGCGTCTGGTCAGATACAGAACACACCACCGTCGTCGCAACTAACCGAAACCAAACAAACCGAATCGCTGTCCCCCTTGGGTGTATTTTTTAATATTATTAAGAGTATAGACAAAAAAAGAAGTTCGGGGCCAAAACCCACACCCAAATAAACACGCATATTGTTGCGGTCGTTGAAGCTTCCCAATTCTCGCTCCCTGGGTGCCTGGGATTACACAAAGTGGCTAAATGGCTGATAAAGGCACACGCCGAACCTCGGCTACTAATGAGTATTAATGGCGGGGTTACGAGCACGGCAGGTATGCCCAACATGCCCGATATGCCCGATCCCTTCCAGAGTTTTGAGGGTGACACTCGGCGAGGGTCACAGATAGTTGCGTTAACAGCGTGAAAAGGGTTGTTCTTCTTGGCAAACCGCTCGATTGGGATCTCTCTGAGGAGAAATAGTATACCACAAAAGCCCTAATGTTTCAGATACAAATGTTTTTTAGTTATATATACATACATATATATTTTTGTGTGTGTTCTTTAGATCACGTTTGTTCAAACAAACAAAACATGTTGAAGGGGTTGAAGGGGTAACTCTTTTCGGTTTATTATTCGATTTAAGCATCATTTTCAAGTACTAAACTTGTGGAAAATAGGTAAATATTTTCAAAACAAACAAAAAGGGTCTCTTAAGTAGGTTATTTTGAAGGTATTTGTTGATTTACAATTGTTGATTGCAATTATTCAATACTCTGGGAATGTTGTATTTTATGTTGACGTTCTTGTCTTTTATTTAAAGGATTTTATAAAGAATAAATTAAATAAAATGATATCTCTTAAACTCTTTGTATAAGAAATAATTAAGCTTTTGAAAATCGGTATAAAATATTCTTCTAAACATAGACATTTACGAAGAATGTTGCTTCGCATAAATTCCCAGAAAATCTCTGCTATTCTATTTCATTTATATATATTTTCTATTTCTATGCTTAAACCAAATATTTAATAGGGTCAAATACAACATTTATGCATCAATCTTTCTTTAAATAAATTCCTAGAAAATCTCTGCTGACAAAATATTAAAAATAAAAGTAATCCATATATTTATATTTCCATTTTATACTTCAATATTTGAAATAAATATTTCATCAAGTCAATAAATTCCTTACAACATCAAAATATCAAAACAAACCACAAAGTAGATAATATTTTTTAATACCTCCAAGACCAAAATAGAATTTTTTGAGGCATAAATAGAATAACCACATGGCCAATGGGCATAGCAAATTTCTGGCATCTGTTGCCGCGGGTATTTTAAGCAATATTGGCAAATTTTTTATGGTTTTCACAGCGCACGTTTTTTGTTGATTATTTATGACATTACATACATAATGCAAGCGTAATGGATGCGAGTGTTCATTAAGCACAATGAATGTCGTGCACTCCCAGACCCAACCCTCGGCCCTCAAGGAACCCACAGCGAGCGTGTGTGTATGGAAAGTGTGTGTATGCCACCCTCTTAGGGTTTTGCAGTTTTGCGAAAAAAAAAATTAAAATTTGCTGCACACATGTAATGAATATTTACAATACACTGCTGCCCTACACAGCGCCACAAAAGAAATGAATTCAAAGGGAAAGCGATTCTCAGAACGGGGACGCAAAAGGAAAAACCCCCTTTTTTCCATAAAGGAAACGAAGCCCATTTGCTCCTTATGACATAAGGGTGGCACCGAAGGTGAAGCCAAATAATTGTCGTATGTTACGATTATGCGTAGTCATATCTGCGATGCAGAAATTGACTTTGAAAAGTGTGTATTTCCTGGAAGAGAAACACGAAGGAAAATGACTGACAGGCAAGTCAATGATAACATTCACTTCCGGTTTAAGCCTTGATTAAATCTGGGTTTGGAGGGTATATTTAAAATGTTTGTTAGGGATTTATATACTACTACTTTGAAATTAAATAAATATTTTACAAGGCATTCCTACCTTCCCATAGTTTACTCTACAGTGCTTGCATTTTTATATTATTTCCTTTTCTAGGAATAGAAAAAAAAACATTATTTATGCAGCCATTCCTGTATACAAATCTTTTTTTATTTTTCACCTTAATTCCGTGGGCAAATGCATACATTTGTTGGCTCTACCAAAGCTCTCCACTTTGGCCAACTAAGTGTTTTGCCATTAAACATTTACGATGGCACAGTTTAGGGCCACGCGTGACTTGGCCAGCTGTTATGTGTGTGGAATAAGGATGGTTATTAAAATTAATTAACGCACGGCGATTTGTTGCCGGGCGTCATAAAGCGGAATGAAGTTGTAGTTAAAATTTGAATGCATTGAATTAATCAAAAGTCCAGTGGCCCATCTGCCAGCCGGATGTGGGCACTGGAGCTTGGCCAAAAAGGAGCCAGGAGCTAGGACTAGGCCCCGCCCAGGATATCATGCACATTTAAATGCAACTGATTAATCATGGATAAAGTTGTTCTCCTCCTGCTGCTGCTGCTGCTGCTGGTCACGTGACTGCCAACAATTTGACTTCAAACACATTAACAGTTACGGTCCGTGGAAGTTGAGGGAGTGCAGGGACTTGAATGCAGGACTCCCGGGGAGCAAATATGGCTCATGCACGCAGAGGGTTTGTCACCAGCAACAACTTAACTTGGCTAACTAAAAACTTTTCATGCATTGCCGTTGACAGTGCAATAAACATGCCAAAACAAATGCACCAGCGGCCAACACAATGGCAACAACTTATGAAAACAATAGCGTCAACTGACCCAACCCGCCCACTCTTTCCAATGGAGCACCAAAAGGGGTGCCAGAAGCGATCCCTTCTGAAAATAGACACGTAGCCGGCAAAGAATTCAGTTTTGGGATGGGAGTCCGGGAATAGTTTGCCGCCGTTTTTTTTTTTTCTACTTTCCAAGAATTTTCAAAGGAAACGAAATTACTCCGACTGATTTATGAAGTTTGCATTGACATTGGAATTTTTACGAGTACAAGCTTTATTTTAGCTTAATTAAAGTTAGCGTGTCCTTAAAGCCAGACTAACTACAAATGTTCTATACTATTACTAGACTCTCTAACTACATTTATTTATTTGAAGAGATAAAAGGAATAAGTTCAGGAACTATTGTTTTTTATTAACTACTTTTAATATGTTCTTTATTTATTGGAACAATATATTTTAAAAATAAAATACTATTAAAAGTATACGTATACCTATTGGAAAATAAGACTGTTATTATGTTTTATAGGTAAATCAAATGTGTTCTTTATTGAATATATTGAAATATTGATCACACGCTCGCAAATGTTATGAGTTTAATTGTGATTTATTTAGTTTAAAAATATGCAAATGTTCATTATTACATTATTATTTTTTACAAAATCTGGAAAAACTATGCCATTCTTTGTACCCTTACAGGAAACTATAATTTTAGTTAAAAGCTTATAACAATGTGAAGGAGTCATTTCCGACCCTATAAATAATACATATTCTTGATCAGCATCAACAGGCAAATCTTTCTAGACATGTTGGAACAAAAATTAAATTTTTCCGATTTTTTCAAAATTTTATAAGGGGTTACATCGTTAAAATTGTCAAAAATTGACAAAAATTTTAATTTTCTAAAATGTTGAACTGAATATGCAGTTTTATTAACCATACAAAAACTAATATTGGAAAGCTTTCCGAATTAAAATAATACTTCTTTGTCTTAGTTATGAAATTTTTAAACTGTGATTTGTCCGAAAAATTTTCATATTGTTTCAAACAATTTGAATATTTTGAGCGATTTAAAATGTGATCCTATAATTTATAACAAAGTGCAAGAGTACATAAACTGCGGCTTCCCGAAGTTAGGTTCCATTTTTGTTATTAACAAAATAAGTAGGAGTTATTCTATTTTTATTAAGAAAACATCACACATTAAAATTGTTCCCTTTAGTATTTACATTTCTTTATTTTTAAACTATTTAATAGTGACACTTTTTCAATGGCTATAGCAAGTAAGCTCCACTGATATCTGTAAATTGCGTATTTTCCGAAAACAAAATCCTTTGAAAACGTTAACAAGAAAAGCGGATTTTCGCAACTGCTATTTTTTAAAGCGCCCACATATCCGCACACAAACATGTTGGATATATATACATAGATAGATAGGGTCCTGGTACCAAAAAATAGATCGGTACCGTGCCGCCCATTTGCAATTTCGCTTTTTTGAAAAACACAAACTGTTTTCGGCTTTGCGTCCCTTTTTGGCGAGTGTGCGAGTGTGTGTGTGTGTATGCTTTTTAATTTAATTTTCGTAGGCCGCCATGCACTGCACTTGAAACCGCTTGCCGAAGCTCGCACATGAATAACGTGGACTCGCAGTAACACACACCCAGAGCCAGTAACCACCCACAACCCATCACCCATCACCCACCACCCACCACCCACATGGTGGGTGGGGCTTCGGCTTACAAAAGCACAGTCGAGAGCCCCGAAAAGCGAAGTGCCCAAACCACGTGGCGCCCGCTTTCATGCGCTTCGTTTAGCAAAGTGGATGTTAAGTGTAATGCGATTTTTATGTAAATTTTTACCCG